GTCAGCAGGTCAACAACACTCTATCCACTGAGCCAAACCAGCTAGGGTGCTCAGTATTTTTGGAAAGTTCCCCTGGATTCCATCGTGCAATTGGGGTAAGTACCACTGCTGTTCAAGGAAAACCATGACTCAATCCTGGCTTTCCTCCCTGATTTAAGGTCTTGAACTTATTCTCTACCTAATATCCTTGAGTAGTTGAGGGGATCCTGGGGTCCTGCTCCCAAAGCTTCCAGTTTCTAGAATCCTCTCTGCCCCTTTTATTTTCAGCCCCCACATTCTCCACACTCGCCAGTTCTTCCCCCTTCCTAACCGACAATCCCAAATCCTGCCCAGAGAGGAGGTTACCAAGGCAACCAGCTTAATCTGGTAACTGTGGCATGTGCTGGAGTGGAACCCTCCCCTTTTCTTATTTGGTTCATAAAATGCCTGGAGAGCTCCAAGCCACTCCAGCCAGTTGCCCCTGTTACCCCCAGGGATATTAGGGTGTCTAATACAGGGAGCCCAAGAAGCTCATACTTGGGTCTCTATTTCAGCTTCTTAGCCAAAACTGTGCTCTCTCCTTTTTACTGTTCCCTTTCTAAATCCACAAACATATGGGTACGCGAGCTCATTTCTGTGAACACATGCTCTAGCATACATAGGACCAGATATGCGCACACCCCGATATGCCAGTAGTGCACACCCTGTTCGATTCTACCACCACTCCCAGCCTTTAGCATTCCTGTCCCTGCCTGGTTGGTACACAGTATGCGGGTGCGGCATTGTCCAAGGCGCCTCAGCCCATCTGGAACCTGGTGCCACTCCCCAACCTTGTTACCTTAATCTCGATGTGCTTACGCTGAGCCTGTCTCTCTACCCACTTCCTCCTCAGGAACAGAATGCTCCTGGCATAGGCGTCAGGAATAAGGATTATTTGGAGTGCAAATTTGGCACCACTTTCCCCACTCCATGGTTGTGTCAACTCTGGGGAGCTCGCTATACTTAATGATGTCAGATGGCAGCGCTAGAGCTTGTCACCCATCTCCACAGCCCTGCTGCTTTCTGCTGCCAGCTGGGCTTAGGTGCCCTTGTGCTCCTGGTCTCCTCCCCCTGCCTACTGTCTCTTCTCACCCCAACTAGACCTGCCACAACCTGCTGCTCCCCACCTGGCTCCTACCTGCCTGCCAGTACCTGCCTTTCACAGGCCAGGCCCTCACCATCTATTGTGCCCTGCCAGAAAGGTTAGATGAGTGCCGCCTCCAGGGCCAATGCCAATCCACCCCAGGCCTTCCCAGCCCTTCTTGCAGGAAGGGAGATAAAGACCACATATTCCTGTAAGTGTATCAACAGAGTAAACTATCTGGGTTGAGAGTGATGGATACCCAATCAGCAATCTTTGTAGGTCTCACCTGAGTACAGGTAGGTGCGTCTAGGCATGCAGGCCACAGACCTGCCCTGGTTCTTTGAAATGACCCTAGGTTCCTCTGTAAGCCCCCGAGCCAGGAATCTCTCTCCATTGGTGTGTCCCTCTTACTTTGCCCTGAATTTCTGCGTCTTCTCTGAGCTCTCCATCCAATCCCATTCAGCTCCTTACAATCCCAAGTGGTCCCCGAAGCCCCCATGACCAGCCCCAACGCCCAAGTTCAAGCCTCGCGCGGCCCAGGGGGCGGGCCCGGGAAGGGAAGGGGCGGGGCA